TCACCATATCTAACTTCTCCTTACCTATGCCTAGACTGATGAACTTATATTGAAAGGCTGTACCGTCCAACGACATCGCTGTACGACGTACGAGCTCCGGTTAACCGTCTGCTACAGAAGCAGGCTCCCTGATGCCGGAGATTCCACTGTAAATAAGCCTTACTAACGTCGATGCTGAGTTCAGATCTGCTGCACACGTATTTCTACCCGACGCTGCCTATCGTTGTTGCTGTAGATGCTTCCAACCACGGAGTTGTGCCGTTATCCCGTACAGTTTTTCTGATAATTCTAAAAAGGCAGGCTAACCCCTGCGGAGAAGATCTACGGACAAGTAGATAAAGAACCTGTACCCCACCTCTTTGTCTTCATTAGGGTTCCATAAGCTGTTGTACGGTGGCCGCTTCACGTTTTCTACGGACCACAAACCATTGCTGACAATCTTCGGTTCGAAGAAGGGCGATCATCGCTAGCTTTACCTCCACCGAGCATCGCTATCTGTGGTTGACTCCCGCGTCATGTTTGCAGACGCTGTGGTGATCCCATCTTCCCTCCGACCCTCTGTACTACGCCAGTTCTGTGCTAACCACGCTGGTACCAGTCGAGTAAAGTCTGTTGCTCGCAGTTTTGCTTACTGGCCGGATATCGACGGCGACATCAATGACGTGGTTCGACGCTGTTTCCGATGCCAGCAAGTGGCCAGGATGCCGCATCGTCAACCTCCAATACCATGGCAATCACAGGAGAGACCGTGGTCACACGTGCATATCGAATTCGCTGGCCCAATTAACGCAGTCTCCTATCTAATCTTGGTTGACGCCTACTCGAAGTGGCCCGAGATAGCTCAACTGAATTCAGCGACCGCATCTGCCACTATCGTCTTCCTACGATGCATCTTTAGCCATCATGGCTTACCAGAAGACTTAGTTTCAGATAATGACTCTCAGTTTACATCGTCGCCGTCTGAGGATTTCTGCCGTCAGCAAATCATCCAGCATCTTCGCTCACCACCGTACCATCCTCAGGCTAACGGTCAGGCGGAGCGTTTTGTCGTCACGTTTAAGAGAGCACACGGGGAGGGGACCACGGACAAAATAGTCCAGACGATGATACGATGAACCGGGGAGGACCACTATCTTTGTGCACATTTGGAAGAACGTAGAATCTGATCAGTGCCGTTTCTTGCAGTCTCGACACGCGTCAGTCGATCGGTAATATTGCACCTGAGTTCTCCATTGCCAACAGTGTCGCCTAGATCTCGCGTGTCAGCGTTTTAAGGGGCAGGATTCGCATTGGACATAGGACTGAAGTTCCTCCAAAGGGGTTCGGCTATCCGAATGTAATGTGTCCTGCCTAATACGAACATAGAACGCCCCTTTTCCGCTTGTCCGCAGGCATGATAACGAGATCGCTGTCGAGTTTGGTTTTTTTAGTACATCACGTTATATCTTGGAATGTACGTGGCGCGGATGACACATGGCGTCAAATAATGTTCTTCGATTCATTTGCCGCTTCTGTCAGGTTGAGGATTGACTCCACTGTTGTAATCACGTTTGCAGGTTTGGCATAGGCTGTGTTAAATCTAGCCTCATGTCTTACCATCGGCATTTGTTCCCCTGCCGGTTACGTTGACGACATGTGGTGCACCAGTCTGTAGTTATTCGATGATGGTGGATTGGGCAGCTTACGGAATTTGTTCTCTAGTACTGCTTCCTTTGCCGCTCTCTGTTTGCCGTTTCCGTAGGTCACCCACTGCTGAAGCAGTTTTGTACCATTCTCCACCATGGACATTCAGTCCTGAAAGAGCACTCTGATTATTCGTCTGTGGCGCTGGAATAATCCGCGTCTCGCCATCTCTGTGGTAACGAGGAGTTTGCATGAAGCAAGCTTAGGCAACAGAGCATTCTCGGAACGCCTGTGTAGAAATTGAATCTGCGTATATGTAGACGACTCCCTAATGTTAAAAATTTCCTACTGTAGAGCGGATGAGGGCGCATCGAGCCCGAAGGGATTTCTGTCGATATCGAACACGGATGATTTAATTGCGACATTAAACGAATCTGGTGCGGACCAACGAGCCATCATCGCCTCCAAACCAACCCAAGCGGTGATTGCAAGAGTTGTTAATTATAGTACGAATGTGGCCCCATGGCTGATAAGTACTATAAATACTGCAATCTGTGTGCCTCCACTACATTTAACTGCAACCAGCGATGGTGATGGGTTCGAGTTAGGCCAGTAACCGCATTGTCCCCCTGATCGCAACTTCTTTTTTTCTTCTGAAAGCATGGTTGCATTTGAATCGTCAGGGCAATATGTCTGTGGTTTCCGAGATCAACTCTTATTCTCCTATCTATAAAGCATTTGATTTTTTACTCGAAAATATCGTTTGCTTTCAGTTTGCATATGACAGTCGCCTCACAGTCGTCAGCGTGGCCGCTAATTACTACTCTTCGCAGTCCGCTGTTTGAACCGCGTGTGACTTGCCGTCGGCCAATCAAGTGATCAGCGTCAATCGATGCAGAAACCTACGCTGATTGACAGTGATTGGACAATGCTCCGATAAAGGCACATTCTTTGCGGAGGAACTAACAACACAAAACTGTTGGAAACGGCTGTAAAAAAGAATTGATGTCGGCGACCCCTGAGCCGCATGCTCACAAACATCGTCTCGACTTTCATGGTTTCGTTTGTCCCCTACGCAGACAACTTCGCTGCACTTGTCGCGTAAAAAGCTGCCTTGGTCGACGTCACAATTTTGGCAAACATTTCCTTTCGGCCGCACCTATCACCTCCATCGTCGACGTCTCTAGTACTGAATTCTAATCTTTCTCCACCATAGATTAATCATTCGCGTCATTGCGCTATGACACAGTTGGACGAAGGGTCCTGACCGTCTGTTAAGCCGTGAAACGCCGACGACCCTCTCATGAGGGCAGGCACTTCACCTAGTCCAAGGACCACAAGTCCATTTCCTTCGCTCTACGAATGCACACGGACTAGCTAAACAATCACGAGATCCGACAACTCTGCTTAATCATCTCACTTCACCCTCATTTTGGCAGGCCATGAATTGAGGTCGCTAACGGGCTCTGCGCAAAGCCTGCATTCGTCATGTGCAACTCTCTGCCGCCATTAACCTCAGTGATATAGCTTTCGAGGACTGCCGTATTCGTTCTAATCTGTGACGAGGACGCCGCAGTTGCAGTCAGACAGTATATACAGTGGGGATGCTCTTTCTCCTGGAATATGGTCTGACATTCTGAAATAAGTTTTTAGTCTCGAAATGCTACGTTAGGATGGTTGCAATACGAATTATCATGTCGCATAACGTTAAGGTAAACTAGTCACGCCAGGATGCTTGCTTTCAAATGGGTTCCTTATTGTCCGCCTGCACAAACTATTTTCCGTAAAAAAATGTTTATTTAAATAGAGTGAAGCTTTGCCATTTTTTGATACCCTTAAAATTTCAAATATATTTTAAAATAAATTTGCGCATACATATTATTTATGTTGCTCTAATCGCACTAATTTACGTCTTTTTTAAAATATGGGTAAGGTTGCAGTTGGTAGCCAGACATTATACGTTGATACTGTCGACGTGCGTACTTGTTATCAGTAGGTGTGGTTACCTTGTCTAGGAAACTTGTTATCAGTAGGTGTGCTCTTACTGAGTTAGGCAGGTCGCAGGTTCCGGTCAGGCTGTTGGATTTAGTGATGAGGGTTAGGGTTGGGCGTAGGTTAAGTTTTATGATTAGGGTTTGCGTTTAAGGATCTGGTTTTAGTGTTAGGGTTAGGGTTCAGGTTCCCGTTAGGGTTACGATTAAGGTTAACTTTAGGGTTAGGGTGAGACTTTAGGTTAGGGTTAGGGTTGAGGTTAGGATAAGGTTGGGGTTAGGGTGAAGCTTACGATTAGGGTCAGGCCTAAGGTTAGGGTTAGGGTCTGGCTTGCGGTTAGGGTTAGTGTAAGGTTATGGTTAGGGTGTGGCTTTAGTCTAGGGTTAGGCTTTGGCTTAAGGCTAGGGTGAGGCTTAAGATTAGGTTTAGGGTTTGACTTAAGTTTAGGGTTAGGTCTTGGCTTAAAGATAGTGTAAGCGTCGAGGTTAGGTTTAGGGTTAAGCCTGGGGTTAGAGTGAAGCTTAAGCTCAGGGTCAGGGTTTGGCTTAAGGTTAAGGGTAGGGTTAGCGTTAGGGTTAGGTTTAAGGTTAGGGTTAACGTTAGGTTTATGGTTAGGGTTAAGTTTAGGTTTAGCGTTAGGCTCAATTTTTGGGTTAGGGTTTGGCTTAATGTTAGGGTTAGGGTCATGCTTGGGGTTAGGGTGAAGTTTACTTTTAGGGCTAGGGTTTGGCATCACGTCAGGGTTACGGTTAACCTTAGGGTTATTTTTCAGATCACGGTTAGGTTTAAGTTTGGGGTTAGAGCGAAGCTTAAGGTTAGAGTTTGGCTTAAGTTTGGGGTTAGGTTTGAAGTTAGCGTTAGGGTAATAGTTGGATTTATGCTTTCGATTGAATTTAGGGTTAGGTTTTAGGTTGGGTATATGGTTACATTTGGGGTTAGAGTGAAGCTTACGGTTAGGGTCAGGGTTTGTCTTAAGTTTGGGGCTAGATTTGAGGTTAGCCCTGGGGTTATAGTTGGGTTTATGGTTTGGATTGAGCTTAGGGTTAGGTTTAAGGTTGGGTTTATGGTTAAGGTTAGGGTAAGGGTTTGGCCGAATGTTGGTTTTAGGATTAAGTTTAGTGTTAGGTTTATTATAAGGGTCAGTATCAAGGCTATGCTTAGGATTGTGGAAAGGTTTTGATTTAGTTTTAGGATTTTGGTTACGTTTCGCTTTTGAGGCTGATGCTTACACCTTTCGGTTGAGGTCAGTGTTGGATTTTATGGTTAAACGTAGAGTTCAAATTTCTGCCATTATTCCACTTACTTGAAACTTCCCGGCCCATTCCCTGGCAACTTTATTTTTTCCTAGAAAATTCAGCATTCCTCTACCAGCCCTTCCATCTTCCCCACCCATATAACCCCCTTTCCCACTATTCCCGTACGACAGGGACCTGGCTGTCGGCCTCCCCATTCCTGTCTACCAACTGCGATCTAACCAAAATATGCAATTTGTTCTAGAAGTAGAAGCTGTATAATTTTAGGGCAAAGTAACTCATGATTTTTTATAGGCCAGGAGGAAGAGGACATATAAGACTCAGAAAAGATTTTGACGGGTGTGGACCATGTTGTCTACTTTATATGCAACTAAAATAGATGTGCTGGTGCGTTGCTGTATGACTGGACGTTTCACTGTCTTAAAAATCTCATAATAATTAACTTTTGTAAACAGAAAAAATACTGCTTATTCAAATAAAACACTTGGAGACGACGAAACGTCCTACCGACTGAGTAAAAGATAAATCATTTCTGCACGTTTTCTGTGAAATAGGTTTAAATATATAAGGGCATTAAGAATAAATAGGAAAAAGCTTTACTCTCTTTAAATGGCCATTTATCGCGGAATATAAATTCCGCAAGTTGTTGAGTAAGGAGCTCTTTCTATCTAGTCTGATACAAATTTTATCATGACAATCCCAGGAACATCACATGAGTGGCCGCCCACATTTAGGGGCGTGCTGTCAATTAAATCCGGTTCGCTGACGCCATAAGCACGGCGTCGCCTAGCAAAAACGTTTTCTTCGGGATTTGGCAATCGCTTCTTGCCCTGCATACTTTTAATTTTATTTGAATGAGAAGGAGGCGAAGACTCTTTTTTCAACTTCCTCTAACTGTGAAGAGCAAAATCTGTGAGAGACGTTGGGAGACCTTACTGTATGAATGAAAAACCAATGAGCGTTTACCGTGGAACGTACGAGCTGCAGGCCCTCATCACGAAAATGAGTCTTATTTCATACTTTCGTTTATATTTGAACGTCTGAAAGATGCGCTCAGAACTGTACTCACATTACACGCATATATCACATGCATACTCATACAGAGACTCATTCTTCACTAGGGCCGCTGGCTCTGGCATTATGCCCATGTCAATGCTACTGATGTAGACTTTCTGATGAGTAGACTTTGTCAGGTTAGTGGAATAGGATACACCACTAATGGAGCATAAAACAAGAAAGTCGAGCAA